TTTTTTTCTGTCTCTCGTTCTCCCTCTCTCTGTCTTTATTATGTGAAACGGCACTCTTTCACTCACACAGACACACACACCACCGCCGTCAACTTTGCTAAATTACTAATGACAAACATTGACCAGGCAGCTGTGATTGAGCAGCAATGTCCATCCAACTCTTTTCATGGTTGTTGTAGTCGTGATAATTTTGTGAGGTCACATTGAAAAGCCTCGGATACAGAAGCGTAGAGCTGCCACCCAGGCAAAAGAAAAATAGAAAAGTGAAAAGTATATTGTTCTAACAATATACCTTTCACGTTTGAACAATATAATATCACGTTATTACAATATACAGAATTATCATGTTCGTACAATATAAATATTATATAGGCTACATCGCAGCTCCAGTCACGCTTCCATCACCGTCTTTCTCGTCTTTTCCCAGAGTAACAGCCAAACAGGAGGATCTATTGGCTAGCACTGCTTAGCCTTGCACATTCTTATTTTAAACTTAATCTGGAATTCATTGCAAACTGTTTGTGCGGGATATGAATGACAAGATTTTGTTTTTCTACAAGAGTTAGTAAAAACATCTCCAGTGTGATCAAATCTTCTTGCCAAACATCTGCAGCTTGGCAGTGTATACAGCACTATAATGACCAGAGCTAATTCTTTTGAAAACCATACATCTTTCCACAGGTCTCAACTTCATCAGACATCACCTAGACTCAGAGCTGGATGAGGCCAGCACAAACAGCAGCCTAACCGACTAAGATGATGGATCCATGGGGTCAGGAAAGCCAGAAGCAGGGGAGCTGCAGAGGTACCTTTCATGTCCATTCACTGGAGGTGTGGCTCTATTGCATGGTGTTCCTCACATCAAGAAGCTGTTGATCAAAATCAATACAGCTCTTCCTGCATCAGGAGCCTGTGAGAGACTTTTTAGTCATGCAGGACTCCTGTTCATTGCCAAACGGTCACAGCTTCACAGCAAGAAGCTTGAGAGCCAACTGCTGCTGAAGCTGAACCACCATTTCACTGACTGAAGAAACGATTTATGGTAAAGTGAGCCATACACATATGTACATCCACATAGTGGAAATTTGTATTTGTCTTTTATAATTAGTTTTACTCTCTTTTCAGTGTTTATTTGTGAGTGTAGTTTTTATTTGAAAGATTTTCATTCTGATGTTTGTATCGCATGTTTTTAGTGTTTTCATATTACATTGTGTTAATCCGCTGTCTATACTTAAGGGTATTTTAGTATACAAAGAACATTTTATAGTTTTGTTAGAATGTCTATTCCTGTGGAACTTTAGCACAGATGTTTGTGGGTTTTTTGTTTTGTTTTTTTAAATTCCTGCTGTCCACCTTGGGAATAAACTTTTCCTGATTATACCTGTTGCATCTCTGTGTCATTTGTTTCTGATTTACTTAATCCCTCTTGTATTTAAAAGAACCACCCCTAGTATGACATTCTGACGCATCAGCTGTAGTCTATTGTGTTGAAGTTGCCTCGTTCTAATGTTTTCTCTGAGGCTGCTCTAAATGCGAATATATTTACTGTGGGTTTTGCTTGAAAAAGCTTTACGTTGTGAAAAACTGAAATCTTGAAATTAGAATTGTTGTGCCTTATTTTGTGGATCTTTTTACATATATTCCTTTTGAAAATACTAAAATTTGTATATTTATTTATTTTTGTTTGTCTGATAGCATTTATTTATGAAATAAATCGGACATTTCAAACAGTTACTCGCTACTTACTCAGTACTTGAGTAGCCTTTTCACTAAGTACTTTTTTACTCTTACTCGAGTAACTTTTTTGACAACTAGTTTTCACTTTTACTTGAGTAATAATATTTTAAAGTAATGATACTCTTACTTGAGTACAATTTTTGGATACTCGACCCACCTCTGTATTTATTACCGAAGCACTAGCTGGTAGTCGGGCCATACGCATGTCCTTGTGCAGTTGAACATAATCTACGCTTTTAGTTGAAAAACAAACAGGCAAAAACCTCCCAGAAGTTCTGAAGCCAAATGGGCTACTTTCCTCTCTCTCTCTTCCTTTCTCTCGCTCCTCTCTCTCTCTCCGCGCTTGCCCTTCACTGGTACGTGACTGGGTTAATTGGGAACCCACCTGCACATTGATTGTAGGGCGGCGCTGGTCCGTATAAAGGGAAGACGGTCTTCCTTCTGCTTTATTCCTCCCACTTCACTGACGAACCATGAGGATAATAACTGACATAAAACCCAGGATAAAGAGTTTGAGTGAATGTGGTGTTGAAGGTGTGGAGGTGGATCAGAGTGTCAGAGGAGACTCTGTAGAAGGACAGAGTGCCAGCAGGACAGTCCACATACACTGCTGCTCTGTTAGAGACAGAGGAGGAGGAGGAGGAGGAGGAGATGGATGTTTTTATCTTATTGTGCCTGACACAATGAGGACGTTCATCAGAGCAGTACAGACTCCAGGACTGATCATTCCATCCAAACACACAGTCATCACTGCCTCCTTTCTTTCTGATGCTTCTGTAACTCACTGATATAAAAACGTTTCCTCTCCACTCGACCTCCCAGTAACAGCGACCAGTCAGACCATTTCTACACAGCAGCTGAGGATAAACATCAAATCTGTCTGGATGATCAGGATATGACTGAACCTCCTCCACATCGTGTCACCTTCCTGTTGTTGTCAGACAGTTGGAGCTTTGTGTTCACTGTGTTTGTGTCGATTGTGAGTTGACAGGAATCTGATGGAGAGAACAAACACAATCCAGCTGCAGTTATTGATCCATCATCTGTTCATTGATTGACACTTTGATGATGACTCCTGACATGATGAAGATGGTTGAATGTGTGCTGCTTTGTTTTCATGAATCCCATTAAAAACACACTTACACTTCCTCAGACCTGGTCTCAACCATCGGACTCCAGCAGGCTCCACCCTGAAAGGAGGAGGGGGGTCAGAGCAGCACAGTCAGCATGCACACATGGACATTACATGGCTCTCATACACATACTGTTCAAATCAAATCAAAATTTATTTATAAAGCACAAAATAAAACAACAGTGTTGACCATAGTGCTTCACAGTCAGTAAAAACAGAGACAATTAAAACAAACAATAAAAGGGGACAACAAACAATACGTAACAACACAACAAGCTAGACCAGCCAACTAGTCAGAATCGAAAGCCAAAGTAAAAAAATAAGTTTTAAGACATGATTTAAAAGACTGGATAGACTCGGCAGTACGAATATGAACAGGGAGGTTATTCCAGAGTCTAGTTGCCACGGATGCAAAGGTCTTCATTCGAGACCTAGGTTGTGCTAGGAACCTGTGATTGGACGATCTAAGTACTCTGTTGGGATTGTATAAATGGAGTAGTTCAGAAAGATAGCTGGGCGGTAAATTATTCAGAATTTTAAAAGTGAAGAAAAGAATTTTAAAATCTATGAGATATTTAACAGGGAGCTGATGTAGTTTGGCTAAAATTGGAGTTATGTGTTCATGGATTCTCGTACCTGTTAAAAGATGCGTCCAAAATACTGTTGGACACTGACAAAGGAACAGTCCAACATTTTCACAAATACACACTTCAATCCACATGTGGATCACACGGCTGATGTCTAGGAATAATCCTGGATCTGTCACCACTTTATTGAATGGAATAGGACTGATTCAAACTGTGCCCTTCATTATGTTTATATTCCTCTTCTGTTTAGCTGGACAGGACACTTCCTTCCTGCCTTTGCTACCAACTGGTTTTCTCCTCTTGGAAACACACACATTCAACATGGCTGACACTCAATTAGGTGCACATAGGCCACTATCTCAGGTACAGTACACCTGAGGCCAGAGGTGGAAGTACTTCAGTAGAATTTTCATGTATTTGTACTTTATTTATTTTTGTTTAGATGCAAAATCACCCTGTAAACAACTCCTTGGTGGCGGAGCCCCTGGTGTTGATGAGGTCCGCCCCGAGTTCCTGAAGGCTCTGGACGTTGTAGGGCTGTCCTGGTTGACACCTTTACAATGTTGCGTGGAGATCAGGGGCAGTACCCCTGGACTGGCAGACCGGGGTGGTGGTCCCCATCTTTAAGAAGGGGGACCGGAGGGTGTGTTCCAACTACAGGGGGATCACACTCCTCAGCCTCCCTGGGAAAGTCTATGCCAGGGTGCTGTCTCTGGTTCTGTTCATAATTTTTCTGGACATGATTTCTAGGTGCAGCCAAGTGGCGGAGGGCTTTGGCTTTGGTGGCCTCAGAATCTCATCTCTGATTTTTGCAGATGATGTGGTTCTGTTGGCTTCATCGGGTGAGGGCCTCCAGCTCGCACTGGAACGGTTCGCAGCCGAGTGTGAAGCAGCGGGAATGAGGATCAGCACCTCCAAATCTGAGGCCATGGTTCTCAGCCGGAAAAGGGTGGAGTGCCCACTCCGGGTCGGGGATGAGTTCCTGCCCCAAGTGGAGGAGTTCAAGTATCTCGGGGTCTTGTTCGCGAGTGATGGGAGAAGGGAGCCGGAGATCGACAGACGGATTGGGGCTGCAGCTGCAGTAATGCGGACGCTGCACCGGTCCGTCGTGGTGAAGAGGGAGCTGAGTGTAAAAGCGAAGCTCTCAATTTACCGGTCGATCTACGTCCCTACCCTCACCTATGGCCACGAACTGTGGGTAGTGACCGAAAGAATGAGATCGCGGATACAAGCGGCAGAAATGGGCTTCCTCCAAAGGGTGGCTGGCCTCTCCCTTACAGATAGCGTGAGAAGTTCGGCCATCCGGGAGGGGCTCAGAGTAGAGCAGCTTCTGCTCCACATCGAAAGGAGCCAGTTGAGGTGGTTCGGGCATCTGACAAGGATGCCTCCTGGGTGAGGTGTTCCAGGCATGTCCCATCAGAGAGGCCCCGGGGCAGACCCAGGACACGCTGGAGAGATTATATCTCTCGGCTGGCCTGGGAACGCCTTGGTATTCCCCCGGATAAGCTGGAGGAGGTGGCTGGGGAGAGGGAGGTCTGGGCCTCTTTGCTTAGGCTGCTGCCCCCGCGACCCGGCCTTGGATAAAGCGGATGAAGATGGATGGATGGAAATTTCTTCTGCTTATCCCACCTCAGCAGCAATGGCGCGTTCTGCTGCCCCCGCGACCCGGCCCCGGATAAAGCGGATGAAGATGGATGGATGGATGGATGGATGGATGGACCCTGTACAATGTAGTAACAGGAAGTAGAAACATATTTTTATTTTCTTTCTTTTCCTTCTCATTCAAGATGAGTACAGTTAGAATTAAAATGAGACTCAAGTTTGTATTCCCATCTACTGATATTTGATTATTAACATAGCACAAGGTTCAGTGAGCTTTGAACAAAAATATGAGGTAGAAATAAGTTACTTTTCCTTTCTTACTTTGAGTACATTCCAGAGTATTGTACTTTTGGACTTTTAGTTGAGTAAAGAAGTTCAACTTTTACTGCAGTTGTCACAGGCTGGGTCTCTGACCCAGCATTGTGGTTTATTTTGTAATTTTTGAAGTTTTCATGTTAGTTTGGTTATACGTTTGTGCTGTTCTTATTTATAGTGGAAGTTTAGGTTAGTTATTATTTATCATCTGTCTCGTTGATTTCTGTGTTTGGTTCTTGTGTTCTGTGTTCATGTGGCTAGTTTTACTCTTTCCTGTGCATCATTATGTTTATCCTAGTCAGCTGTTTCTCCATGTGTTCCCACTTCCCTCATTATCCTCCTGTGTGTATTTAGTCCGTGTGCTTTCAGTCATTCTTTTTCAGGTCGTCTGCTCATCCATGTCATAACTTCAGGTATCTATGTCAGGTCACCATGTTTAAGGTTTTTTCATGTTTAGCTTTAGTTCACCCAGTTTAGGTTATTGTTTAGTTTCACCAATGCCCTTTTGTTTGTACCCTTTTGGCTAGCCTCAATAAACGGCTTGTTTTTTGTTAAATCCACGCCACGTTCAGTTTTTGGAGTCTGTGTTTTGGGTCCTTTTGTCAACACATACAGTGTTGACTGTACACATACAGTGTCAACAATACGACCTGACCATGTAGGACCAAGCGACACATAGTAGAGACATAATCTATGCAGTGGAGTCGTTATGCTGCCAGTGGAGGCAAAGCTCTAGAGAGGAGGAGAGGGAGGAGTTACTTCACTCGTTGCGGGTAAGCGTCAAGGTTTTTCCCTGGTTATGGGAAGCGCTACCCCCTCTGATCTTGCTCCGAGATCAGAGGGGGCTACCTCCGCACCTCCGCACCATCCTCCAACCCCGTCCACGGGAGGCTGCGTGGCCCGGTGTGTGGGCTGCATCACCACAGCCCCGCGGCCGCGCAGCCTCCCCTCCGCCCGCTGTGAGCGTGTGAGTCGGCACGCTGAAGTTCGCCACGGCACCACACTCTTCTGCGCCGGCGCCACCCCTCAGCTCGCCGGTTTCCAGTTCGCTATCACAGCTCAGTCGTTCACCCTCGCCGCCTCGACCGACCTACCCGTCTCCCGCTTCGTATCTGGGACAGATGTGGTCGGAAGACGAGGAGCCGGTCGCCACAGAAATTCAAGTTTCGTCCACGACCACTTCAAAAAGGAAGCGGCGTTCACGTCGCCGTCGCTCATTGCTTGCCCTCCACTGAGCAACACGAGGATGCTGTGGAGGTCATGAATTTCGACCTCGAGGAGCGGCAGCACGCTGCATGCGCTCAACTGGAGGAAGAGCTCCAGTTGAAGCCGTGGCTCGCTCCTAACTATGAAGAGATCTTCCGGGGAACTCGCCTGGCTCTCGGGTGTCCCCTGAGCGTCCAGGAACTCTCACCTAACACTCCATCAGCACCCAGTTCCCCAGCCTCTGCGACGCCGCCTGGCACGCATGAGGCGCCGCTGTCTGGTTCATCGGAAACTACAATCAAGAAGAAACGGCGTTCGCGTCCCCGTCGCGCTGCGCGACGACCGGAGGTGAGTGAATGCAGTCTTTCATCACCAGCCTCCATTGAAACCTTAGAAGATGAACTAGATGCAGAATTACAGATTCAAGGGTCAAAGTTAAAAGAGACACATAGTGTCAAGATGGCTGACCCTACTGTGAATGGTGTGGTTGTTTTGTCTGACTTCCACGAACAAGGAGTAAGACCCACACAGACGGTAAATTCCAGCACTGGAGAGTTTCAGCCTGTGTTCTTGTCACCGCCACCCGAACAGGAGTTTGACTGTCCAGCCTCTGAGCCGACCGTTTTGTGTTTTTCTTATAGCGAAAATAAAAACACTGTTTCAGTGCTAACTGAGCCACAGCCTAGAGATTTTTTCCCAAAAACAACCATGGACAAACCTAGTAATCTTGCAGGGACCTCTGACGCTACACTTAGATTGAAAGAGATTGAAAAAGAGATACACAGGAGGCAGGTGAGAG